CCCCAAAACCCCAAAACCCCAAAACCCCAAAACCCCAAAACCCCATTTTCAAGTGAAAAATTGAAGAAGAATATATAACAATTCTACAAAGATCTTTCCCTTTCTGCTTTCTTTCTCTTTCTCAAAAATAGCTTGGTTTCATTAATCTTTTTCTCAACTTCTTCTATCTTATTCTCAAGTATGTCTCTCTTTTCACGTTGAGCGAAGGATCTTTTGTAGGACTGTGGGATCCTATTGAACTCATTTTCCAGCTGCTGCTTTTCGATTTGGAATTTAAGAAGGTTCTCTTGGATTTCTTTGAGTGAATCTTCTTTTTGATGCGTTGAGTGGACGAATGAGCGGGTGAGAGTGGATAGAGTGTTACGAGTTGGGGTAAGCTCATTAGCGTTTCCTGTGAGCCTAGCAAAGGTTCTGTCCTTGCTTCCACTATTTACACCTGCAGCAGGAGGATCTAGTCATTAATGTTCAAAATTTACCATTAATTTCCATTTCTTTTTGTAATATCCCTGATACTGTATTATTTAAATTAGTATTTGCTTGGTTGAAGCCTAATGCTTCTCTGAATCCTGAGGAAGATTCTAGATTTTTGGTCCGATGAACAGGTTCAAAATTATCTATTTTTTTAGTAATATAACCTTACTTTGATTCTGACTTCTTGGTGGCTTTTGAGGAGTATAATATTCATAAGGCCTTATAGATTTATTTCCTTCTTCTGAACCTGAGATATCCCTTCCAAAGGATTCTTGGTTGAAATTTGAAGAAACATTTGTGAATCCATGATCAAATGTTTGATTCATCCTTTGTGGTTTGGTATCTACATCCTGGTCTTTCTTCATCTTTGCGATATATTCTTCGTACAGACTTTTAGCAGTAGCATTCTTGAAACTTGGTTTAGATGCGTTCGTACCTCTACTAGGAATGTTGAAATGAACCTTATTAGGCTTTGGAGAGTCTTGGAGAGGAGATTTTTCATAGCTCTTGTCTCTAACAGGAGTACCTCTAGAAGCAGATCTTCTAGAGGGACCTCTGCTAAGAGTTCTATTGCGTCTGACTCTATCAACTTCTGCTTTTAGTTGCTCTTTATCTGATTGTAATTGCTGTATTACAAGTTCTTGATCTGAAAAACTCACCTCGATTTTATCAAGATTGTCTTTGAGAAGGTTATTTTCTTTCAATATTTCTTCAGTGTTGATCTTATACAGCTCAATATTTTTCAGCAAAGATTGATTTTCTCTGGTTAATGTATTATTTGCTGAATCTAATCTTCTAAGATCAATATTTTGTTCACAGATTTGGTTCTTGAGATTCTGATTGATATCCTCCAAGCTCTTCCTCTTACTCACAAGATCATCAATTTCATCCTTGAGAGCATTCTCAACAGACTCAAGATTCCTAATATCAGCTTTGAGGGCCTCATTCTCTCTAGAAACCGTAAAAATGATCTCATCTTTCTCTCTGGCCATGGTTTGGCTTTCTCGAACTTTCTGCATCATTTCATCGACTTTAGCTCTGAAGAAGTACTCACTTTGCTGATATTTCTCACTATTTTGTGCGAAAGTATCATTGGCTGCCTTCTTGATCTCTTCTGTTTGAAGTTCCATCTCAAGGAGCTGGTTGGCCATTCGTTCATTTTCACTTTTTAGTTCGTTCTTTTCTTCAACAAGTCTTTGAATCTCTTCTTTGCCTTCACTATTGTAGAGGGCGGAATTGAGCTCTTGGATGATTTGGCGATCCTTAGCTTGGTTCTGCTCAAGGATATTTAGTTCTTCTTGGAGCTGCTTGTTTTGGTCGAGAGAGGACTTGAATTCGTAGTTGAGGGATTGGAGGACGGATTCGTATTTTTGGATCATTATGTGATGAGTCTTGAGAGGGATTTGTTGGTCTTCTGGAGGGGTGGGAGGCTGGAAATTTTGTATTGAGGCATTATCAGGTTTAAAATGAGCTATTATAGCCTTCATAGTTTTGAGTTTGAGCAAAGTTTTGTTGGTTGTAATATGGATCGGAATAATATTGGTGCTCCTGATGATCAATGCTTTGAGGATGCTGCTGTTGATGACCAGCAAAGGAAGATGGCCTTTGGAACTGGAAGTCATAAATTTGCTGACTTTGATCAGTCTCTTGGTTGACTGGAGAATATTGTTCTTCTGAAGGTGACATTGATCTCTCCATTGTTTCTGAAGCTCTAATATTGATACTATCATCATGTTTTGTATTTTCAGGTCTCATAATAGCTCTTGCATGATATAAGAATCTTGGATCATTTATAGGCAAATTATTCAACTTTGGTGCACTTTTATAATGAGAGTTTGTATTGTCAAGTTTAAATGTTTCTTGACTAAAGCAATATTAATTTTACTTACTCTTGATCTGTCTCAACTTCATCCATTGGATTTACTTGTTCGCTTTCTAAATCTTCGTCATGATTCTTCTTATTTTCCATTTTATTTACTAATAAATAAATTTATTCCAATAATTTTCTTTAGCTTAGGGGTTTTGGGGTTTTGGGGTTTTGGGGTTTTGGGG